AGCATCTCATCTAACCTTTTCTCTGGGTTCTTAGTTTCTTTGCATTGGGTTAGCACATGTTCTTTTAGCTCTGAGAAGTTTGTTATTACCCACCTTCTGAAGCCTGTTCCTGTCAATTTCATCAGATTCATTCTCCATCCATCTTTGATCCCTAGCTGGTGAGGAGTTGTGATCCCTTTGAGGAAGGAGAGGTGTTCTAGTTTTTAGTGTTTTCATCCTTTTTGTGCTGGCTTCTTCCCATCTTAGTGGCTTTATCTACCTGTGGTCTTTGTAGTTGGTGACTTTCAGATGGGGTCTCTGAGTGGATGTCCTTTTTGTTGATGTTGAAGCTATTTCTTTCTGCTTCTTAGTTTTCCTTCTAACAGGCCACTCTGCTGCAGGACTGCTGGAGGTCTAGCCCAGATCCTACACACCTAGGGATCACTCATGGGGGCTGTAGCACAGCAACGGTTGCTGCCAGTTTCTTCCTCTGCTATCCTTGTCCCAGAGGGTACCTGCCAGATGTCGGCCTGAGCTCTCCTTTATGAGGTATCTCTTTGGGTATACGGGGGTCAGGGAGTTGCTTGAGGAGACAGTCTGTCCCTTATAGGAGCTCAAGTGCTGTGCTGGGAGCTCTGTTGTTCTGTGAAAAGCTGCTGGGCAGGTACCTTTACATCTGCTGCAGCAGAACGCATAACCACCTCTTTTTCCAGGTGCTCTGACCTGAAAAGTTGGCTTTATTTATAAGTTCCTGATGTGCTTGCTGCCTTTTTTCATAGATGCCCTGCCCCACACGGAGTAGTCTAGTCACAGTCTGCAAGCAGAGGAAATGCTGATCTGCCGCAGGCTCTGCCCAGTTGCTGTGTGAACTGCCTTGGTAGTGGGGGACGCCCTTCCCCCCACTGAGCCCCAGTTGAAATGGCTGCCCAGACTTGTGTGAGTTTCTGTGCGTCGACTGGGCACTGGCTGAAACTGCCACACTGAAAACTCGTGGTGCTTTTTGGCCTGGGAATCTCCTGGTCTGTGGACAGTGAAAACTTCTTTGGAAATGTGGTGAGCACTCACCCTCTGTGCTGTTCTTGCTGGGAATTGCACTCCGGAGCTGTTCCTATTCGGCCATCTTGGTTCCTCCCCCTTGAGTCCTATTTTATGCTGTTGTTTTTAGCAGTGAAGTTTTCATCTAGCAAGATATCAGCAAACCTCATACCTAGTAAGAAGTAGCGGGTTGAATTTGTTAAATATTTATCTTTCATATTTCATCACTATTTACTTTACAGAGATAATGTGATGTCATGAATAAATACCAACATTGGAATCAGAACTCCCAGGTTCAAGTTCAAAGTCCACCAATTTTACTTGCTGTGTAATCTTGGACAAACATGTAATCTCTCTGGGTCTCAGTTTATAACCCTGTTAAAAAGAAGATTAAGATACCTACCTCACAAGATTTCTGTGGGAATTAAATTTGACTAATGCAAAATTCTGTGTCTAGAATATAGTAAATGCTCAATAAATAATAAGTATCATTGTTGCTGCTGTTACAGCATTCAATACAGCTTTATAACCTATTAAGTTCTAAACTATGAAACTTACTGATTTGTATGTGAAATTACAAGAAACTATTTTGTATCTCTTGGGATCTCCTTTATTTGCAAATGAGAGAAACCCAGCTAAATGACTTTTTTTCATTCAACAAACACTGAGCACTTCTCTTTGCCAGAAGCTATTCTAGATGCTGAGGTTAATAATAGTAAAAACACAAAGTCCCTTGTTATATGATACTTACATTCTAGTTAGAAAGAGACAAAATATAAAGGAAAAAAATAAAAAATATCAGATTGTGATAAGATACTTAACCTAGTATACAGAGTGTTACTAAGGAATCAGAGATAACTTAGATTTAGGGGACAGAGAAGTCTTCTCTGAGGCATTGGAATGATGAAAAGAAACCAGTCATGCAAACATTCTGGGCAGAGATGAGAAAATGCAAAGGCCTTAAGGCAGAGAGCAAATTTGACAGTTTCAAGGAAAGAAGACTTAATTAAGAAAGAAGATGAGTCAGAGAGATGGACAGGGGCCAGATCATAGAGTCTTGTAAACCACGATAAGAAGCCTGGATTTTATTAGTTATTGTAGAAGTTATTGTAGAAGTTATTGTAGAAGTAATTGTAGAAAGTTAAAGCACAGAAATTGCATTATCTCATTCAGATTATAAAAAGAGTGCCCTATGTGCTGTGTGGAGTTGGAGAATGTGTTATAGGTTGTCAAGAGTAAAAGCAAGGAGACCAGTTAAGAAGCTGTTGTGATAGACCAGGATGTGAAAAAAAAAGAGAAGAAAAGAAGTAGACAGATGGGAGATTATTTTAGAGGTAGAACCAGCAGGATTTGGTGATAAATTGGATGTTGGAGGTGCAAAATAGAGAGGAATCAAGGATGACACTCAGGTTTCTGGACTGAACCACTGAAAAATGCAATTGTTCGTACTATTTACTGAGATGGGAAAGACCAGGTAGGGGATAGGGGTGGAGAGGAGAGGAGAGGGATGAGTGTTGTGTTAGACAAGTCAGAGCAAAATGACTACCAGACAGTGGAGAGGCTTTGTTGATCAGGCAGCCAGATCTATGGGTATAGAGGTAAGGGCTACATTTATAAATTTACAAGCCATCAGCATACATTACATTTAAAGCCATGAGACTAAATGAGATCACCAAGAGAGTCAATAAAGACAAGAAAATGGTTTGGGACTGAACCTTGGGGATGCCAAGATTTAGGAGTCATTTAGAAGAGGGTGATTCTGGGATAAGAGGCAATTCATTAGCCCAATAAACACTCAGTTTTGGTAAGAGTGGATCTTACCTCAGGGACAACAACATTCAAGGTCCACAGTGCCGTTGGAGTGCTGCGATCCTTCTTTGCCACTCTGGGTTCTCTCTCTCTCTCCCCCTCAATCTTTCAACTCAGTCCAATTCCATCTGTAGTCTTCATTACAGAATTTTTCTATTTGAAGGAAACATAGCCACAGGCAGCTCTGAATTTCATCTTAGAAAGAGTCTTCCTCCCAACTTAAGTGTGAAATATCCTATGGAAGATCACTGATTCGTCCAAGTTTGGGTCACAAGCCCATCCTTGAACCAATCACAGGCCGGGAGACCACAGTAACACAACTGATTGGCCCTGCCTAGTTCTGTGCTTCCTGGGGTCTAGCATGGACTTTCTTATTAAGAGGAAAGTAGCACACTTGCAGTTGCTGATAGAGTTACTGAGCCAGGCAATCTCTTATTATTTTTTTTAAAATAATTATTTTTTCTTTGTTCATGCATATCAACACCTGTGATAGACAGCCTTTTGAAATTTGAGTCTAATTCCTAATTGTAAACGTGATGTGTCTGTCTATATCTCCAAATACAGTGTGACATGACATGATGGCTTGGGTTTTAGTTCTTCCTCATTTGATATCTTTAATCAAGTTTAAATAAATACACTTTCTCTTATCTAAAGTTGAGATTGATGTACTCAACAATTATACTGGAAAGTAAAATGAGTCATTGGAAAAAAAAAAGAGACAATTTAAAAAAACCCAGAGAATTAAGAACCTTCCGCAGGCACAGAACCATCTGATTCCAGGAGTGATGTGTTTACAGAGAGGCCATGGTAAAGCAGGGCCTGCAGGTCCCCAGGGTCTTCCTTGCAGATCAGTATCTCTCAAGGAAGATCAGAGGACTACTTCACCACCACCCTGTCTACTCAGGGCTCTCCCGCCTCTAATAGGCTCAGCCAAGGCCAGAGACAGGGGCCACATGGCCTTTGTCAATTGTTCTGTATGCTCAGTAATTGCCTTTTCGATTCTCGCCTGGGTCTGTTCCCATTTTTTTTTCTCTTGTGAAGAAAAAGTAATGAAATAATTTATTTCTAAACCTACACACTTCAGGGAACTAAGAAAAACTGACAACCCAAACTTACTAAAGAATGAGGATGTAAATAGCACATTTCATAATAGTGAGTTGGCCAATTTAAGATGCACACTTCAGTCCCTGTATTAGTCTGTTCTGGTTGCTATAACAGAATACCTTAGACTGGGTAACTTATAAACAGCAGAAGTTTATTTCTCACAGTTCTGGAGGCTGAGGAGCCCAAGATCAAGGCACCAGTGGTATCTGGTGAGGGTTCTTTTCCTCATAGATGGTGCCTTATAGCTGGGTCATTAAAAGGCAGAAAAGGCAAACTCCCTCAGGTCTCTTTTTTAAGGGCATTACTCTCATTTATGGAGGGCTCCATCCTCACGATCTGGTCACCTCCCAAAGGACCTCCCTTTAAAACTAGGTTTCAACATATGAATTATGGGGGAACAAACCATTCAGACCATAGCAGTCCTCCTTTATAGCTACTCTACAGAAGGGCAATTTCAGAGGTATTCAACAGGCTTTCCCTGCAATGCACCTGACTGCAGTCTGCAAACTCTAAGACCACTCACTCAGGTTGCTGTTTAAAGGTACTCCCTTTTACCTTTCACAGAGGAAGCTCATTAAGTATCAGGGAAGATTTCTGGCCAATCCATTTCCCTCTTCTCTCTATTCCCATAGTCTGTACTGGAGAGTGTGGCCTCAAAGTTAAGAGGTTTGCTCCAGAATTTGCCAAGGTCTATGGTTTTGTCCCTTCATAGCCTTCACTGAGGAAATCATGCCATCATCTCCAGCAAGATTCCATGGTCTGCAGTCTTATCTTAAAAGAACATGAGATGATCAAGAGGCTGAAGAGGACAACATCAATAGACAACTTGTTTGTGGTCTGTTCACCATAAAGCAATCACGTTTTATGAGTCCAGAGGCTAGTTTTTGGTTTCTGTTCATTTTGGGTTTGGGTGTTCCTTCCTTTGTTTTTAGTGACTGTATTTGCGTTGTCACTTTTTATTTGCCCATTAAAATAACTGGTCTTAGAAAGAAAACTTCATTTTTGTCTACATCATAGAATCAAGATAAGGAATAAAAACAGCTTAGATTGGGGTCAGCAAGAAAATTACTGAATGAGTTGCTTTGTGGCTCTTCTTCCTTCCTTAATGAAGCTAAATATTGTTGTGTCCTTGTAGGAAAATGCTCTAGACCTGGGATGTGGCTGGAAGAGGCAGACCAAGGAGATGGAAAGAACCACAGATCTTGGCAAACTTGACACTCTGTAGACTACTATCCAGATCCAGTGGATTCAATCCATGGATGCTGAAGCCATTTGAAAATGTAATTTCCCTTATGAAACTCCCAGGGGATGTTTTCTCTTTAGAGAATATTTCTATCTTCTTCTTTGGAGTGGTGGTCCAAGGAACATTTTTCTCTCATAGCTGCTAAGGAGGTAGTCAGATTAGGTACAATCAGAGCTCACGCCTTAGCTATGAGACAAAATGAGGTTTTCTCAGTGATTTCCAGGATCTCTCCCACAGGCTAAACAAATAACCTTGGGTTACTTTTTGGGACCACCAAGAATTAATAAATGGTGTTGGGAAAACTGGCTAGCCATGTGCAGAAAGCAGAAACTAGACCCCTTCCTCACAACTTACACTAAAATTAACTCCAGATGGATTAAAGATTTAAACATAAGACCTAACACCATAAAAACCCTAGAAGAAAACCTACGCAAAACCATTCAGGACATAGGCATAGGCAAGGACTTCATGACTAAAACACCAAAAGCAATGGCAACAAAAGCCAAAATAGACAAATGGGACCTAATTAAACTCAAGAGCTTCTGCACAGCAGAAGAAACAATCATTAGAGTGAACCAGCAACCAAAAGAATGGGAAAAAATTTTTGCAATCTACCCGTCTGACAAAGGGCTAATATCCAGAATCTACAAAGAACTAAAACATTTCCACACAAAAAAACAAACCCATTCAAAAGTGGGTGAAGGATATGAACAGACAATTTTCAAAAGAAGACATATATGAGGCCAACAAATATGAAAAAATGCTCATCATCACTGGTCATTAGAGAAATGCAAATCAAAACTACTTTGAGATACCACCTCACACCAGTTAGAATGGTGATCATTAAAAAATCTAGAGACAACAGATGCTGGAGAGGATGTGGAGAAATAGGAACACTTTTACACTGTTGGTAGGAATGTAAATTAGTTCAACCATTGTGGAAGACAGTGTGGTGATTCCTCAAGGACCTAGAAATACAAATTCCATTTGACCCAGCAATCCCATTACTGGGTATA